TATATATATATATATATATATATATATATATATATATGTATAAAACAGAAAAATAATGACCGGTTATCGCTCCTTCCTTTACAGAATTCAATCGAAGACAAAAATATAAATATGTACACACCGACTAAAAAAGGGGGAAGGAAAAATACTCCCAGAGAATCAGCATTATAACTCACAGGCAGATTACATTTAGACCCAGTAAACATTTTTTCTATTTACAAAGGGAAGGTTGCTTAGACTTAATATATATGATCTCAAGCACTCTCAAATGGTACCTGAATGTACTCTACTGATTACTGTGAAAATATGAGATATAAATCGGAATACTTACAATTTGAGAGTGCTTGAAGTCATATATATTAAGTCTAAGCAACCTTCCCTTTTTAAAAAGAAAGAATAGTTATTGCGTCTAAATTTAATATGTCTATAATATATATTGCTGATTCTCTGGTAGTATTATTCTTTCTCCCTTTTAATTGTTGTGCACTTATTTATATGAGTATACATTTGAAAAAAAAAAAAAAAAAAAAAAAAAAACGCTAGAATTATTGTATACACGACCAGCGAACTACTTCTAAGGGGCCGTTGAAGTTAGGATTTAGATTTAAAAAAGTTTTCTTGATGGTTTGGTTGGTTAAATTAAAGTTAAGTAAAGCAAATAAATAATAGATGTTAATAAATAAAATAAAATTAGAAAATGAATACTACTACTACTACTAACTCTACTAATACTAAGAAGAAGTGAAAACAATGATATAATCAAGGCATTAACTTTCCACACTATCAAAAACAATAAATACTGAAAGAAAACTCACATCAATACTAAAAAGAGCTATAACATTTACTGGACATAAGTTACTGAAAAAAAAGTTTTAATCAAAAGATTTTATAAATTTCAATCGACACCATCACGTAATGTTCGGCCATTGAATGTCGATTGGATCATGCTGTTTGGAAACCGTTAGAGTTAGGGTTAGGGTATCATTGCCATTGTATGATAGGATTAGGGTACCATTAACATTGTATGTACTAGTACCACTCTATGTTAAGGTTAGGGTCAGGGTGCAGTTGTAATTATATGTACGATTACCATTGTATGCGTAGTCCTGGGTATGACTATATTTAGTTACCCCCACGTGGGCATCAAGGCCAGTTTAACGTGGGATCTCCGAGCCCGTGGGCTCGGCCAAAAATATGCCCATTGAACCCGTATAAACGGGTTCAGGGTCGGTTTACCTCCCCGAAAGAGAATCTGCCCTTCGGCGTAGCCTCCTTCGGGTTCCTCCCCGCCCGAAGGCAGAGAGTTCAAGCGATCAGCCGGTCGACCAAGATCGACTTGAACGAGTCCTGGGTAATGACGATAAACTATATTCGGCTCCAAGGCCTCTGATCGGGAGATTGGGAGTTTTGAGGACCGTGGAACTACCTCTTAATTGCTGTCAGGTTTATCCTGACGCGGGGTGGTAGCACCTATTATGGTCCCAGCAATGGGCAAATCGTGAGCCCCCTCCCCCGGAAACAAAAAAAAAGAACACTTTGAAATTATACAAATACATTTTTATAGTAAAAATACCAGCAATACATTTTTTATATAAAAAATTACCAACAATACATATTTACAGCAAAATGACTAACAATTCACATTTATAGCAAAATGACTAACAATATATTTTATCTGTAGTTGAAGGCATACAATTGCGTTCAAAATATTTTCATTTTGGCATTAAATAACCCACAGAGATTGATATGCCACTTAACAAAATCAACCAACCGTTGTATGTATCATTAACATTGTCTGTTAGAATTAGGGTATCATTATCAATTTATGTACCATTACTATTATATGATAGGTAGGGCCGGCGCGTCTTATCCCGGAAAACCCCAGCAGGGTGCGGTGCTGCGTTTTTTGTCCCCTGTTGTGGCCTCTGTTATTTTTTTTTCAGTACTGTTTTATGGCCATCCGACAGTTTTTAAATTATTTTTAAACTGACGTCACATTGTCAGTCATCAACTAATAATGTACATCGTGTATCTGCATGGCCGGTTCGGTGCGTACAACGCAGCAACACCCGGCGAGGTTGGAACCCCAAAAGGGCGAGTTTCAGCAGCATTTCTTTGCTTTTTGTATTTTTTACTTTTTTTCTACCAAAGCTATATTGTCAATCATCAACTATAATAATTGACAGGGGCCGGTGCTTACTATCCCGTACCTCTCAGCCGCGTGGGCGCCCCATGCCTGCTAGGGAGGGGGAGCTAATTTCAGTAGCGCTTATTTTTTTAAACTATAATTTTCTTTCTGGACAATTCTTTTAAATCAATTTATGCATTTATTTAGCTATGAATCGTATTAGAGGAAAAACTTTCAAATTTTTTTTTTGTGCAAATACAAGACCGGACCAAATGAAAGAGACGATAGTAATAGGCGCTAAACCATATATCAAGAAAATTCAGTTTGTCGGGGATATTTTACATATGTTGGAATCTTTGTAAAACTTTTTTTTTTCAGCTGAGATGCTTCTTTATGGAAATTTAAAAATTTGCGACTTTTTTCGAATGAAATTTAGTTATGAAAATATTGGTGGTTATTATAAAAAGAATGACATTTTTTTCAGATTTTTTAAAATTAAAAACCTATTCATTATAAAAGTAAATAATGAATATACTGAAATTTTCTTTTAAATTGGATAATTCCTTGATTTTTGGTAGTTTAAAAGGGCGCTACCCTCCCTCTACCCAATTTTCATTTGAAGGGTTGTGTCCCACAGATTGTGAAACTTTGGAACTGACATGTAGTAGAGGGGGTGGGGGCGTGACCCTAGCACAGGGCCTGATGATAGGGGTATTGTCCCATTACCATTCTATGTACCATTATCATTGTATGATAGGTTTGGGGTGCCATTTTCATTGCATGATGGGTTCAGGGTACCATTACAGTTGTATGAACTATAGAGTAATCGAACCACAGCCTCAGTTAACCGTTTTTCGTGTGTTTTTTGTAGTTGGCTGGGTTTTACGGGGTGGAGTTGCTAATCTCATATTCAACCTGTTTTGAGTCCAAATTAGTCCTTCTTCTAGACTCTTTTCCAACCAAGGCTCACTCCCTCCTGTAATTAATCTCTAGCAATGGAAGGAGAGATGTGAAAGCGTCATACCTTCCCAAGCATATTTGTGAGTAAGCAAATGCGACGGCCTTGGCTGGAATCCCACTTTTGGACCCGATAACCGCTACGCTACTCGAACATCTATCATTACCATTTTATTTTTTATTTTTTTTCATTGATTTTTATCTTTTATTTTGATTTGATCTGCAAATGTAACAAACATTCCGGGATAAAATTTCATATGCTAAATGTACCAGCTAATGAGAAAGAGGCAATAGAACGTAATAAAACAAAACAAAAAAAATAAAAAAAAATAAAAAATAATAAAAAAAACAAAACAAAAAAAACAATAGAAATGAAGAATCTTTAAAAAAGCAACCAAAGAGAGAAAATATTAATAAAAGAAGAAAAAAGAATAAACATTGAATATTAGAAGAGAGACGATGTAAGTCAACAAAAAAAAAAGAAAAAAAAATGAAAAAAAAAAAAAATAGAAAAAAATGCCATTAATAATTTTTATTCAGTGCAATGACAGTACAAATATCTCATTCGCTACAATTAGTGAATATTTCCGATCTACCATTCCTGGTATGTGGGTCGCCGGTTGGTTCTGGGATTTCTTTTAGCCAAACGAGATAAGCAAGAATTCAGAACACACTTGATTCTTGCAATTTCTCCATCTGCCTCCATAGTTTGCAAGCTCAAACTCTTTCCGCCCGTCCCCACACTCAATTTCATTTAATGACCAGTGTCCCTTATTAGGACGGACGGTAATATCTACGCCTTCGGCTGGTTTGAGTCCAATCCTTGCTTACGTCTCACCGACCCAATCCCAGAAATGCGTACACGAAACGGGTTATCAGAACATTCTAACGTTTGGTATTTGTTTCATATTATTCTCATATTTTTTCTTCTTCTCTCAGCTGCCTTCCTTCGAGGTAATCTTCCCTGACATGGGTTATAATTGTTCCATAGTTTCATTCCTCTAAGTTATGCGCTGTAGGTGTTGTTAACTGAACGTAAGGCATGTCAAATAACATCTTTATGTATACAGCTGAATGAAGATGCTAATAAAATCCTGAAAAGCACCCCCCACAACCTCCACAAAAAAACAAAAAGATAATTATTTTTATGACACACGATATTAAAATACACATATAAAGAAGAAAAAAAAGTCTAGTGAAATTTTTTCATCTAAATGTGAATAAAAGCCAATATGGACTGATCTTGCAAACTGACTGAAATTGTTAACTTTCCAAATAAGACCATCTTGATTATTGCTTTCCAATTGTAATTGGCGAAACACAATCTTCCTATAGTATACATGGTTGTGGTAAGTAGTTGTGGTAGTAGTAGGTTTACGGCTAGGTTTAATCTTAGGTTTACAGTTAGGTTTAATTTTCGGTTTACGGTTAGGTTTATTCTTAGGATTACAGTTAGGTTTAATTTTCGGTTTACGGCTACGTTTAATCTTAGGTTTACGGTTAGGTTTAATTTTTGGTTTACGGTTAGGCTTAATCTTAGGTTTACGGCTAGGTTTAATCTTAGGTTTACGGTTAGGTTTACTTTTCGGTTTACGGTTAAGGTTTAATCTTAGGTTTACGGGTAGGTTTAATTTTTGGTTTACGGATAGGTTTAATCTTAGGTTTACGGTTAGGTTTACTTTTCTGTTTACGGATATGTTTAATCTTAGGTTTATGGTTAGGTTTACTTTTCGGTTTACGGATATGTTTAATCTTAGGTTTACGGTTAGGTTTAATTTTCGGTTTACGGTTAGGTTTAATCTAGGCTTATGGATTGGTTTACTTTTCGGTTTACGGTTAGGTTTAATCTTAGGTTTATGGTTAGGTTTAATTTTCGGTTTACGGTTAGGTTTAATCTTAAGTTTATGGTTTAGGTTTACGGCCACATCAAGTTGAAACATCGGTTCCCGTACGATCATCAAAGTTAAGCAAAGTCAAGCTTGGTCAGTACCTAGATGGGTGACCGCTTGGGAATACACCGTAACCTTGAATGTGCGGGGGGGTGTAATAGATAATGACTCGGAATTAATCAGAGAGTCGAGTTCCAATATCCGTTCAGTTTGTTATATTCACTTACGCAAAGGTATGAATCTGCCTCTTATACCCCTCCCAGCTATGGGTTAATTAGTGGAACGTGTATCAGTAAATCATTATTACCGCCCCAAAATTCTTACAATCTAAAAATAGAGTAAAAAATGAAAAAATGAGTTTAAATACCTTGTAAAAGGTTGATAATCCGTAAAAATCAATGAATGAATCACAAAGCGCAAATACTAATAACGTTTGTAGTAATAAAATATCAGATTAAAGATAAATCCATTAATTCTTTATAATATATATATATATATATATATATTATAAAGAATATATAATATTTATATATTTAAAGAATTGATATTTTTTTTACTGATAAAAAAAGTCTAGTGAAATTTTTTCATCAAAATGTGAATAAAAGCCAACATGTACTGATCTTGCAAACTAACTGAAATTGTTAACTTTCCGAATAATCTTTTGATATTTTTAGTCTATACACAAATACCCCCTCGCAAGGAACTACAGAGATATGTGCAGATGCTCTCTGGTTGCCTGGACCCTGCCTCCATTCCTGAGCCCTCATTTCTTGAATTTATGAAATTAGCAACTGAGAGGAGTAGAGTTTAGTTTCGAGTATGTTACTTACACCAAAATTGACGGGGTTTCTATGGGTAGTCCCTTGGGGCCCTCCCTAGTGAACATTTTTGTTGGATACCACGAGAGTCTTCTATCTAAGAAATATCGGAAACCTTATGTCTATGAACGTTATGTTGACGACACCTTTTCTATATTTAATAATATAAATAAAGCAACTCTGTTTTGTGGATATTTAAACTCATTACATCCATCTTTAGTCTTCAAAATGGAGGAAGACGAAAACAATTCTCTCTCTTTTCTCGATGTTCTAGTTGAACGAAAGAATAGTACATTTATTACTAGTATGTTTCGTAAGGTAACTTTTACTGGACTTTACACTAGTTGGAAGTTTTTTGTTCCTCGTATCAGGAAAATTAATTTAATCACAACTTTAGTTCATCGGGCCTTAATGATCTGTTCTCTAGCAACCCTTCAGCAAGAATTAAACAAAATACGTTTTTATTCTTATTGATAATTGATATCCAGTCAACATTATTAATCATATAATAGAACTCAAGTTAGAAAATTTCAGTAGTTCTGAATTTGGCTCTAGTCTGTGTCCGAGTTATCTGAAATTGCCTTGGCTTGGTAGAAAGTGTAAAATTCTAACCGATATAGTTTCCAAATCAGTCTCTTCTACCCTTTTTCAGCCAAATTACGTATTGTTTTTCGCACCCATCTAGTGTTTCCTTCCTTTATCATAGACTGTCTGTCTTACCTTAGTAAGAGTTCGTTAATCTACAAGTTCAAGTGTCAGTCCGATGCTGAATATATAGGCCGATTAGTCTTAGAATGGAAACATGAGTTGACCAACACGTTCCAAAGTTTGTGAGACGATATCCAAGTAATTATACTCGGAGGAGGCACAGTGGAGTAATGGATAGCGGCTCGGACTGAGGCAATACATTTGGGAAAGGTATGAAGCCTCATCTTCTCCCAACAGGTATGGGTAAATAGCAGGACAGACCGGGTTCTACAGCCTTGTATGGCAACTGGTCTACTGCAGAAAGAAATCTGTCTCGTAAGTCATGTATCGAAATATACATGATCGCCTAAGCGTGTATCACGCAAGGCATATAACTGACTGACTGACTACATTTAATCAAGCACACTATGGATAAATAGCAGGAGCGACCGGGTTCTATAGCCTTGGATGGCAACTGGTCTACCGCAGAGAGGAATGGCAACCTACTGTAGGAAAAATCTGCCTCGTCAGTCATGTATCGAAAGATATATGATCGTCTAAGCATGTATCACGCATGGCACATAACTGACTGACTGTACATTTAATCAAGCACACTATGGATAAATAACAGGAGCGACCGGGTTCTATAGCCATGGATGGCAACTGGTCTACCGCAGAAAGAAATGGCAACCTACTCCAATCAAAATACAAGTCTTTTTGAATTTTCCTATACTTGTATTTTGATTGGTCATTCTAGCTTTTGTAACAACGTTTTCCCTTTGCGAAGGATCGTTAATTAATTTAAAACTTTTAAAACCATTTATTTTACATTCAACATCATCACTTGATAAGACACCGGAGGTGTTGAAACAAAATGGCTATTTTTGTAGTGATTTTATAACATATTTATGTTATAATTTTTAAATAAATAATTATATCAGCTCTACTCTGTATTGAGCACTCTTTTAAGAATAGTAATTGTTGGTTATTGGAATTCATTCCGTATACACCAATCATATATTTGGTATATATATATATATATATATATATATATATATATATATATATATATATATATATATATATATATGAAGAAATATAGTTTTAAGGTGTGCTATTTTTATGGGATAAAGTGCTGAATATCAGAGATAGAGTGTATGTAAACATAAAAAGTGAACATTGAAGTCAACACTCAGAGGCGACAGGCTGTTTCATGCTGGACACAATTGTCAGGCGACCTGAGTGTTGACTTCAATGTTTATATATATATATATATATATATATATATATATATATATATAAAAGGATTTAATCTGACAAGATTTCTCGAATATTCAGGCTAGTAGATGTACTTGGATAAGAGATACTGTTTAATTAAAAAACAGCTTCTACTCCAATATGAGTACCTATCAAAAATAACGTTTAAACAAAGTAAATTAAAAATAAAAATATGGCGGATTTAATCCTTTTCCTAAAAATAAATTGTCTTTGTTTACGCTAAGATAAGATACAGAACAGATATGGATGTTTCGAAAATCGGCAGAGAGTGTGTGTTCAAAAGGCATTATTTGGACTTTGTTTGACCGTAAGTCCTACGTGGCTGAGCGGTTAGGCACTTCAGATTTTATGATAGTTTCCAATAGAGGATGCATTTTCGAAGGATGCATGTTTTTTTTTTCCTGGTAATATTTTTTCAATACCGGTGAATGTAGTTGGATAAGAAATACTGAGAATCTACTCACATATGAGTATCCATCAAAAATACTTTTCAAATAAATCATATATATATATATATATATATATATAACATCATCCACAGACAGACTGTTTCGCAGCTCATCAGTGCAGCTAGACATCCGGTTGCCTCTAGCTAGGATCGAAACCCGACTGACTTTTTCTTTTTTTTTTTTTTTTGTGTGTGTGTGTGTGTGTGTGTGTGTGTGTGTGTGTGTTCAAAAACGTCTTATTAAAATTCCCGAACAAAGTGTGTTTGTTTTTTTTTATTTTTTTACAATTTACGTGTAAGTTTGTTACATATCCGGATTAAACTTATGGATAAACCGTCCCAAGTTCATATTGTTTTTGTTCAAGTTTATCCATTTGTAGTTTATGTTATCAGTGCCATACAGAAAAGATTTTATTAGCTTCGTCCTGACATTTTTAGGAAGGCTATAATTCCGATTTAAATATGCGTATAGCGTCCTTAAAATGCCAGGACAAAGATAATAAAAAAAAGTCTTCCTATGGCACTGAGAACATTAACGTTCGCGGCCTTGAAGCAACTTACTTAACTGACAAACAGTAGACAGATAATTGCGCATGCGTTAAAAACACACACACCACCGTCTGCTTAATATAGTTGGTAAGTGAGACGCTTCTGTGTAAGTAAGTGTACTGTGCGTGTTGCATTTTCTTGCAAAATTTTTTATTAGTAAAACATTGCATCACCGTCATATAAGTGTTTATGTACTTGCTAATTTAGGAATACGTAATAATATTTTCGTATTTATGTAGCCTAAAGCTGCTAGCTCTGCATGCGTGAAAACATGCGAACTTCTTACTTCTTGCTACCCCCTCCCACTAAGTAAATATTGTATTAACTCTACAAATGAACTTATACAAATTCTTTATGCTGTAAAACCAAACAACCAAATAATGGCATCTTTGGGGATGTACAAAAATTATTTACTAATGTCTCCGTCCACGAAACGATTGACGCCATTATCCGTGATGTATACAATCACACTTCTCTCCAACCCATCAATATTAAACCCATTATTTAAAAAAAAAATATTACCATGTACCCCTCAAGTAACTTTTCATAACTCCCTAGGTAATATTTATGCTCAAATAGACGGTATTGCGATGGGATCTCCTTTAGGCCCCCTTTTTTTTTCTAATTATTATATGGCACATTTAGAAAATAAAATACTTAACGACACTAATAAATCCCCTGTATATGTAAGATATATAGATAGCATTTTCGTTTTAGCTAAAAATGTTGATCAAATTACACAACGTGAAAACAAATTTGAAAGTCACTCCGTCCTCAAATTTACATTAGAACTTAGTATTAATAATACAACTCCATTCCTTGATGTATTTATTGATTCCAGCACACATAAATTTACTACTTCTCTATATAGGAAACCCACAAGCATTAACTCGTATCTTCTTAATTATAATATTGAATGCTCCCAACGATATAAGTTAGCTGTTAAAAAAAAAAAAATTCATAATCATCTTCTAAAACCATATTCTATAAAGAATTATATAACATCAAACAAACACTTGTTAATAATGGTTTTCCTAATTCCGTCATTAATCAACAAATTAAAATGTATCTCAGTAAACTTAATAATACCCTAACAAAATTGATAATATTAATAATAATATAACTTATACTATTGTAGCCAAATGCATAATAATTACAAACATGATGAAACACTCAAAAACATAATAGGTAGAAATGATAGACGTATTAATAATAAAAAAAAACAAAAAACAAATTAAGCACACCATTTCAAACAATTGACCTCATAGTCTCTAATAACCATACAACCACACAACTAAATCCTCTACAAAAAAACAATGTAGTGTATATCAATTTACATGCCTGTTCAGAG